TTTTTATGTTTATGCCAAATCCGCGCGGACCTCCGAGTTGTTATGTTCATGCCACTTTTCGCTCCCCAGTCATGGGCGCTGGCAGGATGTGCCAGCCGCCCTCCGCCGCCTTCGAGCTCCCGGCGCCGTCGCCTCGCGAGGGCGCCCGCCGGGCTCGGCACCAGGGCCGGCGCGCGCCGGAGAGGCTGGGCGCCCTCGCGGTCTCCCCGCGCTCGCCTCCCCGGCAGCTGCCGGCACCGGGAGTCTGCAGTCGAGACCGACCCAGACCCCCTCGAGTGATGAAAAAATAACGACGGGAGGTTTTTCACTATTTTTGGCTTTGGGGGGCCCTTACCGGCCATCGGGACCGTCAAAAAACGACTCAGGACGAAAAACCGGTCCCGGGGAATGGGTCGAGACCTCGGGGGGTCGACGTCATGAAAAAATCATGACGTCGGGGGTCTGGGGATGGTGAGGATGGCAGCCTTCCCAAAGGCCTGTCGGGGGTGGACAGAGCGCCCCCCCCCCCCCCCCCTGACACGTCGCTTGCTGCGTTGTCCATGCTTCGATTCTCGAGAGGGCGCCGCGGCCGTCCTTTCCCTGGCTTGCGCGCGCCGGGTTTGGGCCCGAGTTCGTTTGCACTGAACCGCGTTTTGCTAAAGTGCGTTCTGTCCATCCCCGAGTCTAGGCCTCTTGGCTGGGGTCGGAGTAGGTGGGGTCGGAGGATGGCGCCGCATCGCCGATGCCTTGCCGATGCGGCTCGACGTGGAGCTCGAGGATTTCCACGTCGACGTCGCCGATGCAGCGCCGACGTCGCCAGTGCATCGCCGATGCATCGCTGGCGCATCGCCAGCGCATCGCGATCCTCCGACCCCACCTGCTCGGACCCCATCTAGGATGCCTCCTAAAAGAGTACCCTCGAATCCGTGTCCAGCCTCGACTACTCCCGGGGGCCCGCCGCGCTCGAAGAGGCTGCAGCACGGGCGTCCCGGGGGCTTGCATCCCTGCTTCGCGCGCACCTTCGTGATCAGTTTGGCCGTATGCCCACGCGCACATGATGACGCCACAGGCTACGGACGACGCGTCTGCGCAGTGCTCTCGGTATACTGGCCAAGCCTGCCGCAGACGCAAGCTGCCGAGGAGACTTCAGCGCGAGCTGGCGGGGTCACTAAGCACTGTGTTGCTCCCTCTGCCTAAGTGATCGAATCCAGCTGCCCCTGTGGATTTGCTGCCATGCCGTGTGCTTACTCTTTTTTCTCACTCTTTCTTATTTTTTTGTTTAATTCTTTCTTTCTCTCTCTCTCTCTCTCTCTTTCTGCCCATTCCCCTCCTGGCCATTTCCATGCGCGCTTGGCCCGATTTGAAGGGTATGCTCTGTTGTGCGCCCGTGCCCGCAGCCTCCCCCCCCCCAGGCGGCCCCGTCCGTCTCCTCCTCGGTGGCACCTTCCTGCTGCTTCCCCTGCTGCTGAGGACAACATTGGGGGGCTTGGGGACATCAAGTAACCCAGACATCGGGCGTCTCGACAAAACTCGAGACGGAGGTTTTTCGTCGTTTCCGACCTCTCGGGGCCCTCGCCGGGCCTCGGGACCTTCCAAAAACGATTCGGGGTGGAAAACAGATCCCGGGGAAGTGGTCGGGAGGTCGGGGGCCCATGTCTCGAAAACATCGAGACATCGGATGTCTGGGACTGCAGAACCGAGTTGCAGCATCTCCAGGACAAGTCGAGAGCGGGACACACTCCGCACCTCTACCCCATATGCAGGCTGTGCCCTCCAGGAGAGTCTCGCCCACCTCGTCGGGTGGGGCTGGGGGGCCAGCAGCGTCTCCTCCACCTGGGGGGGGGGTTGGTGGCTTGGTCGGGTAAGGTTAAGTCGGGCTTGTCCCTCTACAGAGGAAATCTGCAAACATATATGAAACATATTCTGGGGACGATTTTCTATTATGTTTGAGAATGATGTGGGGCATTGTTTTACCTATACGACCGCCCTGCGGGCGATAAGGAGGTTGGGGGGATTGAGATCAAATGCCCACCCTGACTGACCTCCAGCCTGTCACCTTGATCTCATCTCTCTCTCTCTCGCCCTCTCTCTCTCTCTATCTGTCTCTCTCTGTCTCTCGCCCTCTCTCTCTCTCTCGCCCCCTCTCTCTCTCTCTCTCTCGCCGCCGCAGGCGCCGACAATAATGAATTGATGGATTGGGTTGGGTGGGTTGGATTGGATGGGATAAGATGGGTTGGATAAGATAAGATGGGTTGGATTGGAAGACATGGATTGGATAAGGTAAGATGGATTGGATTGGCCCGCCGCAGGCGCAGAAACAAATGAATTGATGGATTGGGTTGGGTGGATTGGATTGGGTGGGATAAGAGAAGGTGGGACAAGATGGGTTGGATAAGGTAAGATGGATTGGATTGGACATGATAGATTGGATAAGATAAGCTGGATTGGATGAGAAATCCCGCCGCAGGCGCCGAAAAAATGAATTATGAAATTAGCGACATGCGTTAGCGCTGGGACGCCCGGGACACCCAGAACAACCAGGACACCGCCCGGCCCAATTGGGACACCTCCCGGCCACCGGCGGACGGGAAACGGATTTTCGCTCCTACTGACACCCGGGACACCCGGGACACCGCCCGGCCCAACTGGGACACCTCCCGGCCACCGGCGGACGGGGAACGGGCTTTAGCTCCTACTTCGGCCTAGCTACAGGAGGATCACGCGCAGCTCCGCCTCGCCCGCACGCCCGACACGAACACGAAACCGAAACCGATTTCCCGGTGGGGGGTCTCCGTTTCACTGCGATCTCACCCCCCAACCTCCGACTATTTTTCCATTTGTCGTCCAAGATTCCCCTGTAGGGGGACATGCCCGACCGAAGGGTAGGAGACATGCATAAGTCCTGACACAAGGCCTGGGCAAAAAGCCTGGACACTGTGGGCGGTCACCTGTGCCGTCTCATGTCGAGCTTTCCCAGCAATCGGGCCCCCCATCGCCCATCGGTCGGGGGAGTCGGGAAGCCGCCTGCTTCACGGAGGGTTGCTGGTCAGGACACAAGGCATATGGTCGATTGGTCGCCACCAGGGAGGATGTCAACCCCAGCTATGCTTCTTCCTCGCCCTGCCTCATTCATCGTTTCGCGTTGACCCTCTTCCTCCTCCGTTCTTCTCGTCCTTCCTCCTCATTCGCCTCCTCTTCCTCCGATCCCCCCTGCTTCCTATTTTCTCATCATCCTGCCTCGTCCGCTCTTCTCATCCTCCCTCCATCTGGCACTCGGAGCATTGGCGTCGAGTTGTTTGATTTCGGCGACACCTCGAAGGTCAAGTAAGTACCTCGGTTTCGTGCTGGGCCCAGGTGCATCCCTTGGGGATTCCTGGCAGGCGGCGGCCACGAAGTACAAGCAGCGCACGGGGGCGCTGAAGAGCGTGCCTGTGACGACGCATGCGTTGATCAAGCCATACAACGGCTCCACCGTCTCTGCCCTCACGTGGCTGGCACAGTTCAGTTGCTGCCCCTGCCGGAGGCCTTTCTCTGGGGTGTGCTCGACGCGTTGCACCGCATTCTGAAAACCCCGCCGAAGCTTCGCGCCTGCCGACTTGATCAACATGGGCACCCGGGCGCCCGGCCCCGCCCGCGCTGCGAGGCAACCTGCTGCCTGGGCTCCCGCATGGAGCGCAGCCGACGTCACGCTCATGGGCTGGAGGGTCTTTGTGGATGCGTGGCACGAGCGCGCGATGGATGCCTCCCCACCAGCGTTGTCGTATCGGGCCGATGGACTGCGCCGCCGAGGTAAGAGACAGACGGAATCCACGCTGCAGTACCTTCTGGCCGTCGAGACCGCCACAGTCGACGCCCCCCGCGAGCGCCTGCGGCGGCGCCGACGGCTGGCCCAGCAAGCTGCCAACGCAGCTGCGCGCGGCGAGCCGCGCGCGGCCGCGGCCGCTACGCGCGCAAGCCTCGCCTCCAGTGCACGCACGCGCGCCATCGCCCACGAGTGCCCACCTTACCGCCTCGGCTGCGGCTCGGCAGCGGACTACACGATGCAGGACCGCAAAGAGAGAGGACGGCCTACCCAGAACCGGTGGCGCGGCGGGCAACGCTCCACCGCTTGCACAACTCGCTGCGCCGTCGTCCTGGCCCGCTGTGGCCGCCCCCGCCGGCGGGCCGAGGCACTGGCGCGCGCCGCTTCCCAGCGCGTCTGGGTGCCTCCTCCCCCCACCCAGACCCCCGACGCCATGATTTTTTCGTGACGTCGACCCCCCGAGGCCTCGACCCATTCCCCGGGACCGGTTTTTCCTCCTGAGTCGTTTTGTTGACGGTCCCGAGGGCCGGTAAGGGCCCCCAGAAGCCACAAAGAATGAGACACCTCCCGTCGCGATGTTTTCATAACTCCAGGGGGGCTGGGCACGCAGGCCCGGCGCGAGCTGCCCGCCGCGCGCGGGCCCTGGCCAAAACGCCCAGGGCCTCGGGCCTGCGCCGGCGGCCCCCGGCAGCCCAGGCAGGCCACCGGACACCGGCGCGGGCCGCCCGTCCCCCCAGGGCTTGTGGGGTGGCGACGCGGCGGCGGCGGCGGGCGCGCGCAGCCGCGGCCTCTTCAGGCACTGCTCTCCGCACGCGACCTCAGCACGCGCTGCTGGGACGGCCTCTCGGCCGGCGCGCCAGACTCAGAGCGCCACGGGCGTTCCTCCTAAAACGACACGAAGATCGGGACAAAATCGGATCGGGATAACTCGAAATCTCTGAGAATCGGCGGGTTTGGAGGATGTATTGGGCGCCGCGGCCGCTCCAGAGCGTTCCGGAACGCTCTGAGAGCGCTCCGGAACGCTCTGGAGATCCAAGCCCTGTTTTACCTCCCTCCTCCCCCCTCCTCCCCCCTCCGTCCCTACCTCCCTCCGCCTTCGCCCCCTGGCGTGAAGTCGGGCACGCCCCTCCACGGGAGGAGCATCCAAAGGTAGTCAAGAAAAAGATAGTCGGGGGCCGATCTTTTGTGAGTCCTTTTCTCACTGAGCGCGTTCCACTACTCGCAAACTGCCTACTCGCAAACGTCCGACCAAAACACATGTCTGCTTCGACGTAATGTATCGTGGATCCCCCATGGCGGATCCAGACCATTTGCGAGTAGTCACTTTGCAAGTGGTGGAACGCGCTCGTCCATCTTCACTATTTTCGAGCCGTTTTCGACTATCTTTTTATTTTGTCGTCCAAAATTCGCCTGTAGGAGGACACGCCCCACCTAACCTTAAGTCGGGCCTGCCCCTCTACAGGGGGAATATCCAAACATAGTCAAAACATAATCAGGGGACTATTTTTGGGGGTAGTTTTTTGGGGACATCTTTTGAGCATCTTTCGACCGCTTGCGCATTGTTTCTTCCAAAATCCGCCCTGTGGGGGGACACGCCCGACCCAACCCTGGCGTTCAGTCGGGCGTGTCCCCCTATAGGGGGATTTTCGCCGAGAAATCAAACATGTCCCCAAAATACCCCCAAAAAGGCCAGAAAAGATTCCAAAAATAGTCCCCAGACTAGGTTTGGAGTATTTTTTATAATGTTTGGGGTATTTTTGAAAATTGTTCGTCCAAAAGCCGCCCTGTGGGAGGACACGCCCGACCCAACCCTGGCGTGAAGTCGGGCGTTGTGGATTATTTGTTATCATTATTGGGGTATTAGGAAAAATCGTCCAACATCCGCCCTGCGGGAGGACACGCCCGACCCAACCCTGGCGTTACGTCGGGCGTTGTGGATTATTGTTTGATTATTGTTAGGGTATTTTGTTTATTGTTTCGTCGAAGCTCCGCCCTGATACCCAGAAAAATACGAGACACATAAAATGCCCCCAGAATACCCCCAAAAGGCCAGAAAATATTCCAAACATAGTTCCCAGACTATGCTTGGATCATTGTTTAATTATTGTTGGGGTATTTTTGTTGCTCTGGAGCTTTATCGGTGTCTTCATCGGACCGCAGCTCGCTCTGGTTCTGGCCATTGTATGGCGGAGCCAGGTGCCGCGCGCCCCCACCTCGGCGCTGGGCCCATCGTCCTCGCGGCGGCGGCGGCTGGTGCTGGGCGCTGGTCGCACTTCCTCGAGGGGGTCGACTGGCGCGACTGGTGGGCCCTCGCGCCCCAGCCTGTACCCAAGTACGGGCACGAGCCCGACTGCCCGGAGTGCCCGCCCTGCCAGAGCGTG